GACGAGCGGGTAGTGCTCGCGTGTATAATGCGGCTGCAGAGGAAACTCGTCTCGGGGAAGACGCTCCGACACTTTCCACTGCCAGAGAAGGTTGCCTTGTGCATCAACTTCGTTAATAATATCCGCGTAAGTGATGCCGTCGATCTCTGAACCGGGCACACCGCCGATGACCTTGGCAGATTGTTCAGGCGAGAGCGGCTCCAGACTGGCGTATAAGAGCCTGCCGTCCCCGAAATGATATTGGTCATGGTGAGCGAACGGGTCGACAAACTGACGGACAACATTGCCGTCGGGATCAAGTTCAGTCATGATTCCACCCCCATACTTGTTAAAGAAAGGAAATGGGAAAGGCCCCCCATCGTTGGTCTTCTTTTTAGGAGACGGTCGAAGAGTATTGACGGCCAGGTTACCGTTGGGCAAGATTCTAGCATGTCGGCCAATTCGACTGGGTAGCCTCCATCTATGAACTTCCTTACCGTCCATGTCAATCAGACGAGCTACGTCGCTCGTCAGAGGACAGAATAGTGTGTAGCCACCAAACGTCTTTTGCTTATCAACGCCAATGAGGCCGACTCCTCTTCGCTTGAGAGTATTTTGCTCCATGGGGAAAACGGAATGCAATTAGAAGTTGCAGTTATAATATATGGAAACGGTTGTGATTTCTAATACGGGCAATGCAGATGCTTAAATAAAAAAAGGTCTGTTTGTTGCTGGCAGCGGCTCAATGTCACTAATTACTGGCGCAAGAATGCACACCAACTGTTTTCGTTATCAGATACAAAACAGCTTGAAAATAGAGTGACTGAAGGTCTTACCCGGAATTATATTAACGTTTAGCATGTGCGAAGAATAAAGCTTCGTCATGTCACACTGGCCTCTTTCGCACCTACCCACGGCATACCGGCGGGCCATCCATCGGCATACCGGCGGGAAACCTCGACAGCTCCAACTCCTGGGCCACCACCTAGTAGTTCGACAGTCGCGATCGGTGACATCTCCCCAGACAACCGGGGTCTACATACATTCAAGCAACGAATTGTTATCAGCACGCCATTGTGGAAGGTGATGATATCTTTGATATATTGACGCAATCTGCGGAAAGCTGTCAGGCGAGGCGATAGAGATGTCATCGGAGGACGCCGACCACAGAGTTGTATATTCACCCGATGATTCACGACGACGGACAAGAGTCAGGATTTAAAACTGGCGAGTAGGAAGCACAAGGACCTCGCGGCATGCACCTGGACTCCCATGACACACGCAGAAGAAAGATACTCATATTATGACCTGTCAAGTGGACAGAGCGTGCGACGAGGCTGAACCCGCATATGCCGTGTCGGCTTCCCCTTGCACTCCCGCAACACTCTGCAAGCCCGACAATGAAGATGAACACCACCAGCAGATATACAATGTGCCTGGCTACGATGCCACTCTTCGCGCCACGACGGGGGAAACTCGGCGTGCCCTCCTCAAAGTCGATTTTCTCATCCTGCCTTTCATCATGCTCTGCTTCTGCTTTCTCCAATTCGACCGCACAAACATTGGCAACGCCCTCACCGACACGCTTGCCAAGGACATGCAGATCGACAACTCGGACATCAACCTGGCCCAAACGCTCTTCACGGTGGGCTTCATCATTACCGAGCTGCCCTTCAACTTGATCAGTCGGTACATGGGGCCCGAGCGTTTCCTCCCCATGACCATGTTTCTCTGGGGGACCGTGACGTGGGCACAGATATTTGTGAAGAATGGCGCCGGGCTGAGTGCGGTGCGGTTCTTCATTGGAGCCCTGGAGGGGGGTTATATCCCTGGATTTGCGCTGTACATTTCCAAGTTTTACACAAACGATGAGCTGGCCTCGAGGTACGCCCTGTTTTGGGCGTCGAACGCGATTGCCGGCGCATTGGGGGGACCCCTGAGTATCGGGTTGTTGTCGTTGAGCGGGCGTGGTGGTTTGAAGGGTTGGCAGTGGCTGTTTCTTGTCGGTACGGCCAACTCCTTGTTGTATTTGACGCTCCTGTTGGCACTCTCTTCTCGCCTTGTCTCATGAAAACTACTTGCTAACGACAGCCGAAAGAGGGCATTCTTACCTGTGCGCTAGGCGTACTTGCGTATGCCTATCTCCCTCACAGCGCTGCGCAACCAAAGAGCTTCTTTGGGGCGTCGTTCAACATGTTTACCGAGCGGGAAGCTTCCATCCTGGTGACGCGCGTGATGCGGAATGATGCGACCAAGGCCCTTGCCTGGGGCAAACCCGTCCAGCCGTCTCACGTGTGGCAGACCTTTATGGACTGGCGACTGTATGGCCATCTTGTTGCCGCACTGCTGTCCATGGTCATGATTGCCCCCATGAATACGTATGCGCCGTCCATCATCAAGGCCCTCGGCTTCACGCGGCTGCAGGCAAACGGCCTCAACTCGGTGGGAAGTATATGCTCGCTTGCGCTGTCGGTTGGTCTCGCATTCAGCAGCGACAAGACGAGGGAGCGCGGCGTCCACGTCGCTGTCGGGTATCTGGTTGGCGCCGGAGGCCTGCTCTGGCTTGCGCTGGCGCCGGATGATGTGCGCAAATGGACCCTTTACGGTATGACTCTGCACGCTTGCGCAGCATGTTGTCGAGACTGACGCCCTGCAGGAGGCGTGGTATGGACACAGATGGGCATGGGCTCGGCACAAGCCATCAACGCCGCGTGGCTGACGACCAAGATGGAAGATCACAAGCGTCCTATTGCGCTGGCCGCATATGTCATGAGTATTCAGCTAGCCAACTTTCCAGGCAACCAGCTCTTTAGGACTCAAGGTATGCAATGATTGCGTTTACCATGGCTGGGGAAACGTGGCTGACTTTTGCCTTGTACGTAGACGCCCCACGGTATAAACGCGGCCTTATTATTGCTGCGTCGTGCGCAATAGCCGCCACTGCCGTGATTCTACTATGGAAGATGCTGTATAGACTGCTGGACGGTGGTGATGGTGGCGTTGAAAGGGCAGCATTGGAGCAGGAACCGGAGCCGCAGGACTAGCTTGGTCAATGTAGATGAAATAAAGGCGTGTACACGGCGCCGGTCATGTGTCGTAGCAAAGCGCATAGAGTTTCAAAGTGGCCGCATAACCGTGCCGTGCCCCCGTCTACCTACACGCTTCAACTTGTCCGCGTCAACTATCCGGAGCGCCCCGGCTGCAAGCCATGGTTGCTGGACAAGACAAACTCGCTTGAAGAATCAGAAGAATCCAAACCACAGCCAAGGACAGGACGGCCCAGAGTGTGGATTCCGATTCCTCCAGCGCCGCGCGCCCCGGAAACCCCTCGGCCAAACCTATTCCGTCGGTGCTACTCCGTACATGCCGTCCGTCGCCATCCTGCGGCGCGATGCCGCTTTGGGCGAATCTCAAGATGAGATGCATCGTGAGCCGACACGGCTTCCTTTCGGGCTTGTCCGCTCGAGGGACCATTCATTACTAACTTGTTAAACTTTTTTTGTTTCCCTCTCATACCAAATAATAATACAAGATACAACTATCGTCCAGGCATAACATCTCGTAATGTAATATTAAGCTATACTAAGCCAAGAACAATTGAAAGCCTAAAAACTTAAACCATCTGCGTATTATAACGCGTCAGACACACCAGCGAAATTGGTGCTGTTTCGCGGCCCGCTAGCTAAAGTTATCTCGAGATAGCTTCAGCCAGCGCTATCGTGGAAGCAAACTTACACCCATTGACTTTGTGCCGCTGAAAGCCCAGAATAGCCACACACGGACGGACCATGAATTACAGCCATGCCCTTTGATCAGGGCCATCTATATATTTGACCTGATACTCCTCTTCACTCGGTCTTGTCCGCTCCCACACGCCACCAGCTTATCACCGTGTCCGCACAAACTTGGATTCGATTCGCACCATCCCAGCCAATACGTGAACGCAGCAACGCGGCAACTTCTCTCTATAAATATCCCACCCCATTCTCTTGATTGATTACTCTACACAAAGCTACACGTTGCCCCCTTGACAAAAATGAAGCTCTCCCTTCTCTTCGCAAGCACCGTCTCGGCCGCCGCCCTCATCAGCAGCGGCCGCGGCTACGGCACCTACTACTACGACGTTGAGCAGCTGCAGGCGTGCAACTCGGACTTCCACAAGGACAACCAGGGCCCCGTCATGTGCTCCTTCACGGACTACCTGCCGCTCACCGACGTGCGCTCAAACTACCTCGTGGCCATGAACAACACCCAGCTCCGGGGCCACCTGGACAAGTACTGCGGCAAGCGCGTCGTGGTGACGGTCAACGGCGTCCGGAGCCCGCTGCCGTTCTTCATCGGCGACGGCTGCGAGCGCTGCGGCCTCGGCCACCCGGACGGGGGGTGGAATTCCGAGGGCGCCCCGGGCCTGGACTTTAGCTACACCGGCCTCAGCGAGTTGGGGCCGCAGGCCTGCGCGGCCGGCCACATCGATCTGAGCTGGGAGATTGTGGACGAGAACCTGTACCATTTCAAGACGTGGTAGACGGGACGGGACGGGCTAGGGACTCGGGATTTGTGCTCGATGTACGTGGGGATGTACACGGCTGCACTGTCTGCGCTAGGATGGATACATTATACATGATGGACTGTACAGGGTTGCGCGGTCTGCGGTATAGATGGGTACATTACACATGATGGACTATACACGGTTTACATGGTAGCGCGGAAAACCTGGGGGCTCGGAATTTCCACACACGGGGGGACGGACGTGGTGTCCTGCGGATGGATACAAGATGGAATACAAGACGGTTTACATGGCCGCGCTAAAAACCTGGGGCTCGGGATTATTACACACAGGGGACAGACGTGGGGTCCTGTAGATGGATAGACAATAGAATACAAGACGGTTTACATGGCCGCGCGGCCAGACGTGCAAAAAGACGAGACTACAGGCCCAACGTGACTGACGCCCACACCAGACACTACTGACACTGCACTAGATCAGCGCGCGCGCTGGGAAATGGCCTCGGTGCCCCTGCTCAGGCTGTAGTCAAACTTGCCCTCGGGCTGCAGGGCGGGCCGCGAGCCCAGCGCGCGGCGGAGCACCCAGGCCTCGCTCGTGACGGCCTCCTCGACGACGCCCTCGGGCAGCGGGGGCACGCGGCGGCCCTCGAGGCGGCGCAGGACGACGTGGTCCTCGGGCCGGCTGAAGTAGACGAGCGAGTAGCGGGCGCAGGCGGCCTGGGCGCCGGGGGGGCTCGACGACGCGGTGGATGTTGGAGCGCAGCAGGCCGTTGGAGAACTTGACCAGGGCGTCGCCGAGGTTGACGACGGCGTGGCCCGGCAGCGGGCGCACGTAGCGCCACTCCGGCTCGGTCCCGGCCCCGGCCCCGGCCCCGGCCCCGGCGCCCGGCGGCATCAGCACCTGCAGCCCGCCGAGGCGGTTGAACAGCACCGTGACGCTGCCAAAGTCGGTGTGCTCGCCGAGAGCCACGGCGCGCGCGTCGTCGGCCCCCCCGCGCCGGCGCCCGGATGAAGCGCACCTGGTCGCCGCCGCGGCCCTCGAGCAGCCGGTGCATGGCGCCCAGCGTTCCCGGCGCCAGGCCGAGGTGCGTGTCGAGCAGGGCCAGCACTAGCGTCACGATGCCGTGCGCCGACTGCATAAAGGACCGCAGCAGCGCGCGGCGCGACTCGAGCACCTCTGGCGCGGGCCAGCGACGGCCTAGCTCAAAGACGTCGTCCTTGCCGATCTGGGTGCCTGTGTCAGAGGGGGAATGGTGAAGAGTAAAGTCAAGTTACGCACGTACGTTGTAGAACTCGTTGCGGTCGAGGTTGCCCGCCGCGTCGGCGACCGACGCCCCCACGGCCTTGTAGCCCATGTAGGTCCCGAGGCGGGAAAAGTCGTACCGGGCCTTTTCGGCCAGCGGCAGGTCGAACAGCGCGCGGCCGGCGTCGAACAGCGCGTCGGCCTGCTGCAGCACGGCGTCCCCGCCCAGGTCGAGGTAGAAGAAGCCCAGGGCCTCGCAGGCGGCGGTGAAGCGGCGCACCTCGTCTGGCTCGCGCGCCCGGAGCTTGGCCAGCGAGAGCCGGAGCAGCGGCGCCGTGGGGACGTCGTCGGGGAACGGGGGTGCAGCGTCGGCAGAGTCCATGGGTGTTTTTTTTTTAAATCCAACAGCTTGTTTGTGTGTGGTTTTCTCTTTTAAAAAATTTTTTTTAAAAAAAGAAAAAGAATCTGCACAATGGTGCGCTTCCATGGTCGAGTTTGTGCCAGAGTCGACTGACGTCTTATAGCTGTACCCCCGGCAGCTTCCCCGCAAATGTCGGAGCAGTCCCGGCAAGATGTGCCGAGGCTGTCCCCGCCAGCGACGCATCGTGCAGACGGCCGCTTTTGCCGTCAAATCGCTCGGGTCTGATCCGAAGAGGTTCCCTGGCGATTGGTCCTCGTTCTTTCCTGGTGTAGAGGTCATGGCCACAGGGTCGTATTGATGGGACGACTGGACGGCACACAGCGCGCCGGAAAGGGCGCTTGACCCAGGCGCATTGATCACTTTCTTACATATGTACGTTAATGGACAAGATTCTGTGTAGTATTCATTCCTGACCGACTACATGGTACATGGTCCAATTGGCAGCCCAGCGCAAACAAACGAATATAGCCCCCACCGCACCGATTTATTCCAGGGGGACTGAATCCCTAAACACCAAGCTGGCCATGCTGCATTCGCAATTAGCAACTCTATTCCCCTGTTTACAACACTTCAGAGAGAGAGAGAAAAGGAAAACTCACGAGGAAGGGTACCTATCCCCCGGCAGCTCCGTCTCCTCCGCATACCTCCTCAGCTCGGCAACCTCATCCCCCGTCAGCTTGATCTTGAGCGCGCCCGTATTGTCCTCGAGGTACTTGAGCGTCGTCGTGCCAGGGATGGGAATAACGTCGTCGCCCTGGGCGGCCACCCACGCAAGGCACACCTGGGCAGGCGTAGCCCCGTGGCGCCGCGCAACCTCGCGGATCCTGTCGACGAGGGCCATGATGCGCGGGAAGTTGTCGCCGCCGAGCTTGGGCACGCCGCGGCGCCAGTCATCGGGCGGCAGGTCGTCGAGCGACTTGACCGCGCCCGTGAGCAGCCCGCGCCCGACGGGGCTGTAGGCGACGACGGCGATGCCCAGCTCGCGGCACGTCTGGAGGATGCCCGTCCGGTCCGACTCGATGTCCAGGAAGAGCGGGCTGTACTCGACCTGGTACGCGGCGATGGGGTGCACCGCGTGGGCGCGCCGGATCGTGGCCGCCGAGCACTCGGACAGCCCGAGGTGGCGAATCTTGCCCTCCCTGGTGGTTGTTAGCATCCCTTTCATGTTTTTTTGATAGAGTAATGGAGACAACGTGCCTCTTGAGCTCGGCCATGGTCTGGATCGTGCGCTCTATCGGCGTCTTGTCGTCGATCCGGTGCACGTAGTAGAGGTCGATGACGTCGGTGCCGAGGCGCGCCAGGCTCGCCGCGCAGGCCTCCCGGACCCAGGCCGGGTCGTTGTCGATGGTGCGCGAGCCGTCGGCGCCCGCCCGGACGGCGAACTTGGTCGCCAGGAAGATGTCGTCGCGCTTGCCGCTGCGCCGGAACCACTCGCCCACGCGCTGCTCGCTGCCCGTGTAGATGTCGGCCGTGTCCCAGAACCGCTCGCCAATCTCGTGCGCCCGGTCGAGCAGCGCGAGCGACGACTCGACGCTCGTGTCCTTTTGCCCGTACCACCCGGCGAAGCTCATCAGGCCCAGGCCGATGCCCGTGACCCGGGGGCCGTTTCGGCCAAGCTGGCGCGTGGGGACGGAGTCGGACATGTTTGTGTAAGAGTGCGCAGGTTCAAAGTGTGCTGGTTGCTATGAAGCAGCTTCGATCTGGAGGCTGTTTCGGCAGCGAAGCCACCGCTTGCTTATATATACTTTTTTCCCTCCTGGCATTTGGGTTCGACATCGTCGTCGGGATGGAGCAGTGAGGGGGGGGGAGCATGGCGGCATTAACTTCGGCACTGATGTCATGAGTGGACGGGCGGTGCTTAAAGCCGAGGGCTTGCAGGGCGGCGTCTTGCTTTGAGAACGCGTGGCATATCTTGATGGGAAACTGATGTTTCGTGCTGAAGGCCTTTCTTGCGAGGGACGGGATTACATGCGATTAACCCGGTTGATTCTGCGCGCGTACGGGCGGCACGCGATATAGCCTCACCCGGACTTAAGGGAGTTTATGCGCACGCGGGCAGCGGGCGATTTGCACCAGTTTCGTCCGTGGCTCCGGACCGGATACGGAGTTTACACAAGGCGAGGGGTCGCCTAAGGTTTTGATTCTTTTTATTTTGTTTTGTTCTATTTTTTTGTCTTTTGCCCGTGACTTGATAGCCAAACTGATCGTACATTCGTGACATGACCAAGTCTGATTCAATGACGTCAGACCAAAGCCCTCGATGGAATAACCACGCCAGAACAGCAAATAATGTCAGAATGCCCAAAATATCAACCCGTCTATAAGTGCTACCCAAGATTGACATGGCGACGCGGTTGCTTCGACGTCGTCGGAATAAATGACGTCCGCGCAGACTCACGATACGTCTGCTGTGTAACAGAATATGCACCACCCGCGTCAATGGCCATCTCCACTCTGGGGAATCCCTGTCCAAGCATCAACTACGGACTACTCCGTACCGTCGTACAGACATCATAGTCACCCTGTTGAAAATGTGGGAGGGGTGAGGGCCGTTTTACACACGAGCACCCTCGACTAGTTGTGATGAGGGGACAAGACGGGCAAGACGTGGATGAAGGGGTTGAGCAGGTCAAACGCCGACTGTCTAATATCCACACACGTGTGGTATCGTGAGCCTTTACTACGTTGGGAAAGTTTAAAAGTCGAAAGCTGTTGGGAGAAGATTATCCCAACGTCCAATCCTTGCTTGGTCTGTTAAGGGTCGACCAACTCTGCAAGTGCTCACTTGATTCCCCTTGGATGTTTTCTTCCCATGTATCCGTCAGACACTGCAAACCCAAGTTCCAACACGATGCACTGCGAGACTTGTCAACTTAAGAGACAGAGTAAATTTGTATGCATAAGTGAACTATTTAACATGATCCATAGGCTATTCCACCTTGGGCTTTAGAAGCGAAAAATTATCTCTTATCCGACACCTCCTTTGTACTTTTCTCCCCCAGAAGCTAAAAAGCCATTACTTCCAACGGTGTAGATATTATCGTCACTTTTCTCGACAAGGCTCGAGTGTGAGTAGAGCATTGTACAATGAATTTACACATCGATGGGAGTGCAGGCCACGTTGACAAGACCCTGTAGATGTCATTTAGTTAGATTTGTAATAGATTTGCGAGAAAGTTGGTCTTGTATACTGACATTTTGCTGGACATTGTTGCAGCAGACAGTCTGCGAGGTGCATTTGTCATTGAGGGCGTCAACTGTAACAAGTTTCAGCGTGTCGCCGCAAGTGGAACTGAGGGCGTCGATGGGGACGACAATGCCAGTGTTTTGCGCCACTTTGTTGCAGCAATACACGCCGCTGTCGCAATTCATCTCATTGCTGCTAGGCTGCTGAGTTGGGATGGCGGCCGCGACGGCGGCAAGAGCGACGATGAGAGCCTTGAACATTTTGAAGGATGGGGGTGGTTGGTTGGTTTTGGGGGAAAGGTTGTTGGTGTAGAAGTGTTGGATTGGAGTGTAAGTGAATGTGGAAGAAGATGATGCTGATGATGAGAAAGGGTTCGAGTTCAACAGGTCCCCAGGCCGATATTTATATCCAAATCGACCGTCTTCCATGGCCCTCATCAGCTCACATCCTCTGCTTCTCTCGTCTGTCGCAATCTCCACAATCTCACTCAGTCCCTTTCTCAATGCTGCTCATCGCCATGATACGAGGTGGGTGTTAGACAACAATTCGGGCCTCGACCAAAAAACAATGCCCGTGATGCTCCTCATCCATTCTGTTCCGTTCAAGGCAGGGAGACAGAAACATGCACGTAGAAAACTGGAGTCGAATGTCTAATGTCCCACGCCATGGCCATAGATATCCCGTGCTTGTACTCCGTAACTCTAACTCTGTACGCAAGGTTGACAGTAACCGCCTTGCTGGTGACCACGGTCGAGATGTGATGGCTTCTGCTGAGGCCTGATCGACAAGTCCCTGCCGTTTTGTTTTGTTTCACTCGAGCACAATGCCGGCTGTCTTGAAACAAGGTTATACTTGGCTTGCTTACTTGCCAACAGAATGGATTAGCCTCCCGCTATTTTCCTTTTTCCCCGAGCTCGTCTCCCCGTAGTCAAGTGAAGACTGTTTCGGTGGCGGGCGGCACTAGCTTGGAAAATCACAATCAAAACTAATCTGCCTAAAACAACATGTATCATGTTCCGAAAAGGGCAGCGAGCCGTAGGATTCGCTCTCCTCGGCGACGCGGGTGGCGCACGGGGAGGGATGTCGTCTGAGTCGGGAAACAAAAGTAAGTGACTCGTCCCATTTAGTCGCTGACGGGTAGATACAAGGCAGGGCGGCAAGCTCTGGCATCAACCATGTCGGCACAGAGCACCACGGACTGATTCGGGGACGGATTTCCATCTCCTTCATCTCTTGGCCGGTCGGTGAAACAAGGAGGGCCGGGTATGTCTTGACTAGACAATGGCTTATATGCAGTGCAAAGGGGATAGTGTCCTATCGTCGATGTCAGAACAAGACTTTTGATAGATGAGCATCAGACCTTGATAACATGGTCGTCTCCCTACCTAAGCGCTTTGATGGGCAAATGCAGGTCTTGGACTCTTGGCCTGGGGGGACGGGGGGCCATGCAGCACGGCAATTCCCAATGTGGCGCCATGGCATGATGATGGACGTGATGCTTCGGTTCAACTTACTACAGATGCGCCTCCCGCCTCTTGTCTGGCTGTAATCTCCCCAAAGTCGGGCCGTCGGGGCCTATTTGCTTTTTTGAGTAAAAAGCTTCGAAAGCCATTTGCCCCAGGCCCGTCAAGTCGTCCCGTCGTGATCGGCATTGGCCCCCTTTTCCGTGCATCCGTTGACTTGGGATCGAATAAAACAAAAGACGAAATAGAAAAGTTCAATCAGCTGCAATTGGGCGGGAAGCAGGCCGGGCTGTATCATGCGTCGTGGTGGATGAATCACTTGATTCGAGGCTGGCCACTCGATCCCCCGCGTTTTTCTGGCCCTGCCCGTTTGATGCGCCGCACCCCTGCCGTCGTCCAGGGCGCCAAGCGACCTCGAGTCACCTTAATCATATCTGGCACCACGTCGCTACGGCTAGCGAGCCGCGAGAAAAAGAAAGTGCCAGAGCGCCATGGAAAACGTGCGCGATTGCCGATGTGCCTCGCAGGTGTTGTTGTGCGAGTGACGAGGGGTAGCGTGCAAGTCGTCTTACTGCGATTTCGACCAAGTGCCCCTTTTAGTGGTGCAGCTGGCAAGCCTTACGATGCTACCCTATACATGTATTCGGTGTATTGGCGATATTTGTTTACCATGGAATCATGGGAGTTTCCCTCATTTGCTTGTTGTAGTATTATAGTGCTAGATTTTCGGATTTGCAAGAGTCCATCACCATGGAATATCATAATACATAGTCCGAGTTGGTGAGATAGGCCATATAATAGTGTCCGGTGACAATCGTCAGTTAGAGAGCCCCAAGCCTCCTGCAACCATGTCAGAACCATAACTGGCTTGGTGAAAAGAATAATAAACCAATTAAATTAAAAACAAAAGCATGACCTTCACTGATAAAGGTTCCTACATTCTTAGGCATTCATTGCAGATATACTCTAATGTATGGAGTATTATTATACAGCCCCCGTCCTACATATTACAAAAGCAGCAAACAAACTACGCAGAGCCCGTATATTTCTCATATATATCCAGCGCATCCTTAAACAAGACACAGTTCTTGTCGACCGCTGTCTGATTCACAGGCGTCGCACCCGCCGTGTGCGCAGAACCAACATCACCCAGCGTCACCACGTCCCAAGGCCTGAACGATGATCCCACCATGGGCCAGCCGGGACCGCCGCCCGGGTTTCGCACAAACCTCCCAATCGCACCGCGAAAGTAGTTGGCAAACGTGGACAGCAAAGGAGTCAACAAGGCCCCAGCCGCCGTCGAGTCGTCGTACGTCGGCGAGATCACGAGAAGCAGCAGATCGCTGCCGTGGAACTTGCCCAGGTAGCTGTACTCGCTGGGAAGCCTGTCGACTATAGACATGTTGAAATAATATCGCCACGTGGGGTTGTGAATCGACGCAGAGACCTGCGTCAGCTTTTGCATCGGCTACTCACGTTTTTGTCAGCTTGCCATCTGGCCCGTCGAGTATCGGCGGAAATACCTACGCATTGCCAAAGAAAGTCGGTGTATATAGCAGCAGCCAGGTCAAAGTCTGTCTTCAAACCGGGCAGTTTTCTGTATTGCGCGTAGATTTCATCGCGTTGCTCGTTGCTGAAGAACGGTTCAAACAAGTATGCCTCGTTGAACCGATCCAGCGAGATGTTGCGATTGACAAGAGCTCGTCCTTCCTGTGCAATCGTGCCCGCCAAGATCGGCACCTTGGCCAGATTCCCTTGCCTCCACGCAGAAGCACGTCCTGCGGGAACAGCCCTGTTGTCCTCAATTGGGATGAAAATAGCACCGGCCTTTTGGGTAATATTTACCAGCTTTTCCGCTGGCATTGTTCGCAGGCAGTCAATCGTGCTGGCTCCCTTGCACCCGGCCTCTTTTACGACGCTATCCCAGGCTTTTGTATTGTTGGGCGCTGCGGTCGTGCCCAGTAGGCCGAATGAGAACTCGCCGCTGGACATGATGGCGCCTCGAAACGGGGGCTTGGTGACATTGGCGTATGCGTGCATGTGTATGTCGACCGAGAGCGACCCGGCGGATTCCCCCCAGATGGTCACCTTGGAGGCATCGCCACCAAACGCCTTGGCATTCTTTTGCACCCATTCGAGTGCGAGCTGTTGGTCGTATAGGCCGAGGTTTCGTTGTTGCACCGGGAGCTCGCCGCTGTTTGGGAAACCGAATACTGCGCGCACCCTTACTATGAGCAAATCTCGAAAGAGCAAATGTCAAGAATTTGTGTATGCCACGTACTGTTTGTCCGGTAGTTGAAGGCGAATGCAACAATGTCTTCGTACCCGGCAAACCCAGACAAGTCGAGCTGGCCATTGCCCATCTGCCATCCACCACCGGGAATGAAAACAACAACTGGACGGCCAGATGCCGGACCGGAGGGTGTGGGAGCGAATGCATTTATTAAAAGGCAGTCCTCGCTTTGAGGCGGATGTTGGTTGAAGAGACCATCGAGAAGGTCTTTGCCGGGGCCGACATCTGCGCAGCTGGTTAGTATCACGGACGAGTGCTATTGCCTGCTCCACCATGATTTGTACCTACCACTATCTGGGACCAATTGATAACACGAGGGTCCAAAGGCTGTCGTATTCTTGGGGGAGCTCCATCTCTTTGGTGGTTTGGAGAGGGTGAAGCGTTCAGGTTTCTCTGCGTATGGTATGCCTAGAAACTTATTGACAGGCCCAGGGGCCCCTGGGAGTTGGGTTGCAACACCGAAAATTAGCCCAGAATCAATTGTTGCTGTTGGTGCAGCGTCGTGGCTGGCGGGTATGGCGCCTGAGGTGGCGGCTTGGAGCAATACGATGCAAGCAACGGGGAGCTTCATCGTGGATGAGGTTATAAGCAACAGCGACGCAAGTCGTGCTCGTTCGGCATCGGATGTCAGGACGTCCAAAGGCACAGAGATATATACCCGCCTCTCCTAGCATCTCTTTGTTGTCAAGTTTATTCTAATCACCCGAGAGCCGCCCCCCACGATGTGAAGTATTACTCCAATCGTCCTCTCTCAATTTCGGCCGGGAACTGTCTGCCTAGGTGAGCTGAAGGGCCCTGTGGACACCACGGGCGTTGACACCTAATATTTGAGCCAATGGCGATGGCGTAGACGCTGTGGAACTTCCCAAAGAAGAAATTCTTGCAATGGAGGTTGCGTTCGTATTGGAGCCAATGCGTAGATACGATGTATACGGCCTGCGGATGAGCGAACCCTAATACCGCACAGCCCCTAGCCTTATTGGCACAACGTTTCGTGTTTCGGACTCGATCGATGCATGGCGATGTTTTGAGATTACCGATAGTGGAGTGTTGTATTCGCCAAGCAGGCTATGCTCAAGCGCGGGCAATGACATTCTGCGTTTTGTGTGGTTGTGGTCTGCTTGCACTTCGAGTCGCGATTCTGGCTACCTTTGCACTCCGCCTCGATGAGATTGCGGTCGCGGTGCGCGGTAGCAACAGTATCCTGGCATCAGTCGATTCATCTCCCTAGGAAGCCCAAGGAAGATAGAATTATATGTAAACCAAGAAAGAAGATGTTAGCTACGGACAAGCACGGCGCAGACGTTGAGACTTACATTGCAGTCCTCGGGAACGACCCATCCACGACAGCAAAATAGCTGCAGAAAAGAGACATCGATTATATCGGCAATATATTCTGGTATACGGGAGTATACATGAATGTCGAGAGTGATGTCAGGGAAAGATGATGCCCGTAACCTCTTCCCGTGAGATTGTGGTCGTCGCAGCATTTAGGGGGTTGACGGCTGGCGGCATGGCCTGCAGCTGGCGACTCTGGCTAAGAGCTGTCATCAATAATGCATTTTTATTTCATCATCTCCAGCTGCTGCTTCTTCCTCTTCTTCCTCTCCTTCCTCCCCCTTCATCGGCATTTCTATCTTCTACCTCTCAACGTTAATCCAGCATTCTTATTCTTATTGAGATATTTGCGATTTTCGTCAACACCCACACTTCATCAAAGTTTGGGGATCTCAAATCTTGGGTTCGTCTCTTCTCTGAGAATCTTATTTTCAATCGCACGTCGAACAAGGGTTTCTTGTTGTCTTAATTTTAATTTGCCGATTCACTTTGCCACCACTACATTTCGCCTAGCCGGCGCAGTATCAAATCGGACTTGTGGTTCATACGGTATTTCATCTCCATATAATTCCTTGGCACTTCTTCCTCCCAGCTCACGTTTATAACTAACCTCACCAGCTACAGAATAAACACCATGCCTGCAACAGCTTCAGACCTCGAAGAAGCCTTTAGGCCAGTAAACGAATGGGACTCGAAGATTGCCGCCAAACTAACTGAGATTTGGGTCAAAGACTCCGATACATGGACAGAGAGGAACAGAATCGAGTTCAAATCACTATGTGCCGACGCCCGTATCACGCGCGCAACAACCACTCCCTCTAGCCACAAGATTCATCGGAAGATACAAGGCCGCAAAGCCACAGCAGCCGAGTACACCATTCTCTCCGTCATGTTTGGCAACCGCGCTGTAAATAGGCTCTCCTGGGGTGCTCAGTTTGCAAGGCAGAAGACCATACTTCCAGTCGAAATCGGCGTGGTGACACAAGACGTGAGAAGAGTGTTGAGGGAGACTTGGAAGAGCCCAAAAGCTGAGCAGACTCCCAAACCAGAAGAGCCAGAACCCGGCGTACAAATGTCCGGAGGTTTGAGTCAACCGAAAGCAACCGACCACAATGGGCCAGAACCCCAACCGCCACATGAAAAAGTCCACGAGGCCCGCCCAGTCCTCGCAGGAGGGGATCCTCAAAGTCAGGCAGACAAGAGCACTGTTGGAAACGTCGGCGACACGAATGGCGGTTCGCGCACTACTACGAAAGGCGGCAATAAGGCCAGCGCAGGCCTCGATGGAAGAGACAACATACCAGCCGGACGCCGAACACGACCCGGCAACATGGGACGCAATATCGATCCAGATAACCCCAACGAAAATGAAGCCACCGACGAGAGGGCACAAACAGAAACCCGAAAGGCAAATCAAACAAGTCGCAAGCGCAAGCCGGGCCCTGCCAAAGGCCCCTCGACCAAAAAACAGAGGCAAGCAGCCGGGAAACAAAAAGATCCGTGGGATACAATACAAAATGCGAAGCCGACAGAGGGCCTAAAAGCAAATATCAAGAAAGTAGAAGCCCGCTGCGTTGCTCAGGAGGCAAGAATGACAAAGCTGGAGGAAGTAATCTTCGATATACGCGACGAACTGAAGATGCTGCGGCGGCAGATCGATTCACTCGCCCGTTATCTAGCGGGATCTGGCTAGATTTGATAGCTAGCTCGGGGGATAAGGGGCACCGTTGCGGCGACCCGTACGGTGGAAAGGGTATGACTAGAAGCAGCCGTCACGGCGACGGATGAGTATATTCTAGTCGCGATTTTCGAGCTATAAATGCTGCCTAAAGGCAGGTTTTTGCTGAACGAGGAGGTTCCAACGGGCTGCGAGAAGCTTGTTTTGCCGAGATATTTTATATAACACAATACGACTTTGCTATCTTCTTGCTAATATTATCGTGGTGACGACCATCGCTGCCGGTGTCGTCGTCAAGGCTCCTAGCAGCCGATTTTGCTATACAAAAGGGCTTCACTATTTCAGTGTATACAGCAGCGGAAAGGCGCGACTAGCAGTACACAGGTGATACTAAAGTATACCATAATATATTCGAATATCATCAGCCGTCGGCTGATTGCATGTATACATGTACCAAAGGTTGTGCCGTAGTGTGTCATAATACCACTGCGATCGCTAAAAGGTGTGAAGCGGTGATTCCAGTGGTACTCAAAGTCCGACACTCGAGATCGTCTTCACAACCATTGACGTCGCTTGGGTTCGCGACGAGCACTACACGCAGATCCTTCGCCGTGCGTTCAGCCAAATTATTAACGGCTAGTGCACATGAGCACATTGGGTGCAAATAGGTATATTCGGTATAAACAAGCATGTCAGTGTACTCGAGTCCTAAACTTGTCTAGTTTCCCAACTCACAAGTCTTCATTTATGACCAGGCCAGCTCACAGCACCACCTCTGGCAGCCGAGTACACGCGCTACATCATCTCCAACACTTGCTCCTTCTCACGCGCCGTTTCCAAACCCGACATCTGGACGCCTCGCCCATTCTGCTCGTGCCACGCCAACATTTCACCAGCAGAGGGCGATTGTTCTCAGCGATGGAAACCACACTTTGCACCCGGACCTCGACTAACCCGATCACCAGCTCGGCGAGTCCAACCCACTCTCATCTGTTAGACGATGCCCACGTGTAGGTCAACGTAGAAACAAGGTTGTCAAGCCCCTATTTACAGACTCTGCAGCAACTTGACAACCTCCACAACTCGGCATCAACACCTCCGTCTACTCTACAGTTAGCAAGTCGCCCAGACCAGACGCGCCGATCCGCCAGAGTTTCGTGTGCCAGCACTTGCTACCCCAGCTCGGGGTGCTCGTCCCCAGCATGCCAGTAGAATCGACCCGAACCAACATACCTCAGGCAACCTGCTTACTTGCCCATTTCCACAAACTGACAAGTAAAGTCGTATTCCCAGAAGCCTAGTGTCTGAGCGTGTTCCCGGGCAAGACATCACTAGTCATGACCCGTAACAATGTCATGCTACAATACGCTAGTGTATAATACGGTATAGAAGACGAGCCAACACATCACGACGCACCATCGTGGTCAACACAATCATTCAATTCATGACTTGCTGTCCTGTTCACTTCCAAGCTATTCAGGCCCTCTTCCCAACACCATAGCGCCGCTATATACATCGAGAAAAGAAAGATGCGTCGTGGTAATGGTGAATACATAGTAAAGAAATAGTAAAGCCTGTGCATTTTATGCACTTTTGCCATTTGCAGGGCTCGGCGCGAATGAATGTTCCTGATGTCTCGTCGCCCTAGTCATGTAGTAGGTATCATTTCAACAAAATAAAAAAGTCCCTTTGCCAAAAGCAAAAGAGCGAAGAAAGGGGGAAATCAGATACTAGACGTGCTTCCCATGATCCATGCAAGTCTTTCAGGACAAGGCCGTGTGGCATCTTGCAACATTCCACCGAGGCGAGAAATCCCGAACAACAGTTTTTTCTACTTTTGAGCCAGCCAATGCTCCTCCAGCCGCTCCCCCCTCAACATTTTCCCAGCCTTTGGACCCCTCAAGTTGTCCTACCGATCGGTGTCTTCTCATTCCCCATGGCGTAAGAAGTTTGCTCCCAACCACCATTCCTCCAAGTGGTTGAATTTAAGGAGCCATTTTCACATCGCCATTAGCCTCAATAACGGTGGCGGGCGGCTCAAATCGAGGGGACTCAAGCTGATCGCCATCGTTCGTAGGCCGTCGCCGTTTCCCCATGCGCTCACACCATTGTTCAGCACTGACAATGGTGCCGTCCAAGACGCCAGTGATCTGCGTCACCATCTCCAGACCTTCCTTTGCCAAGACCAAAACCTTTTGAGCGCCTTCACGCACCGCCGAGTCGCTATCCTTCTCGCCGCCTTCCGAGGACGTGTCTGACATGCTGGCTAATCGAAAGCGTTGGGGCAGGCTCGTTAGATGCCGGCGCACAAGGATGCGAGCGTTCTCGGGCAAGGCGCCGCCGGCATATTTGGACACGGTATTGATGGTTTCCTGAAGAGTCTTCAGAACATCAACCTTGAGTGTATTGATCTTGTTAGTCAGCTCGGTGCGGGCTTGTTCTGGGGTTTGTCCGTTGGATTGACCGTCGGCATTGTCAGGCGCGTCGGCGGAGCTTTGCGATTTGCCGGATTCCGAGTTTTCGATTTGCCGCTGGGCAGTATTCTCGTATTCCTCCAGTGTAGTCTTCAGGTTGCCAATCACCTGGCTCATGTGGTCATTTGTCCAACGAAGCCACTTGAGGCAGTACTTCAAGCTCCGTAAACTCTCAGCGCTCATGGCGACGCTTAATCCTGATGTCGACATGATGAGGCGAGATGGCCAGGAGGCATTGGAGGGGGTGGACCGCGGCGCTTGTTGTGATCCAGCCTCAATCTCGGTGTAGGCCGGCGACCTCATCTCGTCGTAGGCGGGCAGGGTATCTACGGTGCTAGCCGACGACAATCTTCTTTCACTTTTCGGTGTAGACGGAGACATGTCGGTATCGCCACTTGTCATATCCCTGCTCTTCTTGTTGGCACCATCGCTCTCTTGACCAACTTTTCGCCGCTTCTTGGAATTGCCATTGGCATCGGAATCAGCTGAGTTGGGCTGGCGTCTGTTGCCCAGGAACCAACGCACGCCACCTTCAACACCTGTGACTCGGCCAACCGAGTTCACAGTTTTGGCAAGCGGCGTTAGGTAACCTTCGACGTATTCAGCACCGGACTTGAACCGCGGGGAGAAATTCTTGGCCCCGCCGTATGCAAAACTAGCCCCTCCAATTGTACTAGCCACGAGTGGATGAGCAGTCGTCAGAAGGGATAATAATGGTTCGGGCTGAGGTGATCTGGACTGGGAGGATGATGTTCGATGGTGGCTATTGATGGTTGGGCTCATTGGGGCCAGGCTAGCCGTATCTGGCGGCGACGAAACGAAATCTGCGAGAGCAAACAGTATTAGTACGGGCCCATGGAAATGTGAACCGAATTAACTGGATTGACAGCCATAGGTGATGGACGGCATACCTGCTCGGAGGTCGCCAAGCGCTTCTGCCGCTAATCGAACGTCTGGGTCGTCCAAATTCAAACTGTTATTGGAACTGTGACGATCCGGCGACGGCGCGCTGGTTACGCTATTGCTGCCATCGAGGTCCATGGTAGCTGGACTGTCCGCCCGGCGAGTGGAAAAATTGGGTGGTTGGCGGTAGGCTAAAGGGCCGCTCAACGGAGGCCAGTGTGGTGATTGCGAACGGAAGTTTTGGTGGTCGAGGATGGGATCGCCCCTGAAGCCATGGACGCCAGTCACACTGCTGAGCGATGGGAGAATCTTGTCGGTATCATGATTATTCAACGGAGGAAGCTTTGTCGAGAGGGTATCGACGTCGGGAGGGGGCGAGAACTGCATGGAGGCAGCGGCGCCTTGGCCAGGGCGCGGAGTCGGGACGTTGGTTTGAGGGCTCGATGGTGAAGGAACTGCCGGTGAAGAAATAGTTGTGACGATGCGCAAGACTCGGTAGGTTGGCGATGCTATTCAAAGAATCGACCGAGCTCGCCTTTTCGACGCGGAGCCGCACACAAAGGATAGAGCCCGTCGGCGACGAGGTTTCGTCTCTGTGTTTGTACGAGGCCGGGCAAGGGATGCAGGGGGAGCGAGGCCTTGGCTCGACAATGGGACATCAGTCGGAGCGGCAAGAGTGGCCCGTGGACGAGGACAAGGACGAGGATGAAGATTTGATGGGTCGTGGAGGCAGGCCGGGGGGGGGGGAGGGCCTCGTAAAACAAAGCAACCACCAGACCAGACCACTCGAGCATGGCAGCACAACAGCAGTCTCGTTGGGAGGCGGCGGTTTCACGAACCGCGCATTTGACGGCGGTCTGGGGGGCGCGAAGGGCGAGCATGTGATTGCTTGCACCTTGACACATGTTGGCCAGCTCCAGCACCAGGACAGCGCTGGGCGACTAGTATTGACTGGGCTGTGGCCGCCTGTCGGTCGGTGCTACCGCTGAGGCCCCATTTGGCCTAGCTGCGGGGGCCCCTTTTGTTCTCTCCGTCTCGCATTGTCTCTGCCCATGTCTTTGTCTTGGCCGGTTGGCCTCTCGTTTTTTGCTTCTTGTCCGAGTCAGGCCAGCCCAGTGCCCCAACAAAAATTGGCCACCCATCCACTGCAAAGCAGAACTGAAAGCAACCAGACCAGGCAGTGATGGCATTGAAGCAGCTTCAGTGGTGGCCGAGATGCCCTCCATGTCGACTTGCGCAATGCTTACAGGCCCATGTTTGGTTCCATGTCGCCTCTCCTTCCAATGTTCCTAGCTGCAATTGACGGCAGGAGCGCTGCGGCATGGACGCACTGACTGTGACCTGCTGACGCCTCTGCTGGTCTATTCTCAGCGACGTCAGGATGAAGACCGGGCATCCTGCAACTACCGCCAACAGCGGAACTTTTGCATCAATGCCATGTCCCCTCCCAAGTGTGACTTCCAGGCGCCGTCCTCGCAGAACCCCGGTGTAAGGCACCCATCTCCAGACGCCATCCCGCACAGTAGTATTCTCGGGACTTGCAGTGATGGAGGCTCCAGATGTCCAGCCGGAGTTCGGGAACATGTTTCCTCCCCGGTGATCGCCGTTCCCTGTTGTCTTGCTCACGCCATTTAAACTACTACCAGACCTGCCAGCGACGTTTCAGCCGCTTTGCCATCAAGCATCAAGCCTTACAGGCAGATGGTTTGACGAGCACTCCAGGGCCAAAAGGTGTCGACACAGGTTCGGCACAGCTGTTGTCATCAAAGGTCTTCTGTGCCGTCTTGTCGCCCATCGATGTGTGCCCGTCAGCATTGCCAAGTCGGTGCCTGCAATAACTGTTTCCGCCGGCCCTGGTTGTGGGAAGCGACGGGCCCCCAGTTCATGCCATCTCGTCATTGGCTTGCACGTGCTCGGCAGTCTGGTGGGGAAATCACATGCAACAACACCACAATGCGAATTTCCATTACACAACCCAGAAGTGCTACCCCGTAGTGGCGTCCGACTGCGGTTTCCCCAGCTTGTGACATCAGCCTGAGGCCTGGCGAAACCAATCGACACCTCCAGAGCACCAAGCCAGAAGTTGGTACGCGCCCAGACTCACTCCTCCCAGCCAGATCAGACTCTTCTCGATTGGCTCGACGCGGTGGGTGCCGGCTGAGCCTGGGGCCATTTTCCTTCACAAGCTGCCGACGGCAAGAACATTGAAGGCAACTCGATGACTGCCAGTCTCAGTAAATCATGACTGATTCTATGCTGATGGCCAGGCTTGCCGTTCGCTTCCTATATGCTTTTGGCTTGCCATGAGTAGTTATCATCCGACAACACATGGCTTTCAAGGAGCGCTTCCAAGACATGCTGACATGAACGGGTGTATGGCGGCCAAGCTGAGCCACTCACTCCATTACGTACTTGCCGTTTGATGCACAAGCCCAAAGTTATGCTGGCTGAACTGGCAGGGTCCTCCTCATCGCCCACGGACTTGTTCCTTGGTTTCACAGTCACCTTCAGTAGCTAACTAGCTGTTGACGGCTCTTGGGACGAAGCTGGGTCAGAGACACCCATCGCACAGGCCCATACATTACCAGGTCATATGACACAGGAACGCTTATAATGACGAGAGCTATTGTTGGTGGTCACTGACTTCCGAATACTACAGTTACTACAACTAATATCCGTAGTCAATCCCCCAATGGCACCCATCTACTTGTTCCCCGCAGAGCAAACGACGCGGGAGTTGCCTCCTGCGCAAACGACCATTCACGATCCACTCCGTCTGCAACATAGAAGACAGCCCGGCCTGGGGCTGCTGTTCGTTTTGTTGGGGTTAAAACCCGGTCGAATGTGAATTCTGACAGGGTATAAGGCGGCCAGATTTGACTACAATATTGCATTACAAGAACTCCCGGCTTTCTTGGTCGATGATAATTGGCATGGCGTTGTTCACCCACACCCTCACATGTCAACGGGTTGAGATCAATCGATAGTACAAGGTGCATGTCAAGCAAGCTGAATCCTAGAATTGTCACCAGTATGAGTAACAGCAAGCCACTGAAGCGCCTTGGTGCAAGCGAGTCGGTGTATACAAAGGGCCGGTCTCTGCAAAAGTTTTTGGGCAATTTGAAAGGCGATGAACATTATAGCCTGGGCACCCAAATGACGGAGTTCCCTATGGCAGTTGCAGGATGTAGGCCTATCGGTAGACTGCAGATACGACCAATTTGTTACACTTGGACAGTAGTAGTCTTATCACCGTCATGGAACCAAGTCACATGAAAATGCAACATCATCACCAACCGAAAACTTGGGCTGGTAATGGATTGTCTGGGGAATCATGCCGATTATACAAGATTTGATTATGTTGCATCGGGAAAGTGTCGCGAGAATAGTTGTGGCAACGAGCCATCGTCCAGAAATATTGATGGACCTGCACCACTGCAGGGTTCGGAGTGCCGAGGACTACCAGAGACCATGGTCAACATCAGTTCGGCTCTTGTGTTTTTGGGTCTCTTCTCCGGGTATTTTACCCAGCACTTGTCAATTATATGGCCGTTTAAACACCCTAAAAGAAAGGGAGCGTGAACGGACTATCGACGAACAATATACTGTTATGATCGATAGAAGCGAAAACAGGTACACCCACTGCGAAGAGACCTAAAAATAACGGCATTAAAAAGGGGAAGAACAACAAGGGAAAGACGTATCCGACAGCATTAAGGACCTCCAAGCAAATCTAGCATATTATATGCAAGGCTCCTGTCAGCCAGGGGGATCTCTCTGAGAGAAACGACCGTCGAGGCGAAAAGTATGGTTCGGCATTCATAGTCAAGCAGTTAAAATGGGCGCATAAATATGTCCGGCTCCTCTGACGCCGCCCAAGCCACGGAAAAATGAAAGTACTTGGGCAGCTCTTAATGAAACCAAAATAGATCCCTCTCCGCGCCACCAAATCGCAGCTTCCGCCCACGGCACCGCAGAGAGACACAACAGAATGTCATGTCAAACACGGGCTGGAGGACGGGCTGCACTGTCTAACGGGCGCGTTGGTGAGAAGAAGAAAAAGAGCAGAAGCACTAGACAATTCGACATTTTAAGGTGGGTGAAATTTCAAAGGGATCCATCTCTCCACGTGACCCGGGTGGCAGAAAAGGCACGAGATTCACCGCAGTTCTGCCGACCAATGACATTGCCAAGCGAATGCTACTCATTCCGTAATGCCCAGGGTAGCTGGATTGGACGACACTCGACACAGGAGACATGCTCATTGAAGCCAACCAGATTTCTACATCTCGCCATATCACAATCCCAGCGGTTCATTGCTGAAGCCACTCCTTCTATCACTTTTAGCTGGATACCTGGGACACGAAACACATGACGAAGCGGCGCTTGTAGAATTCCTCGACAGCATTCTCCTTGGCCCTCGTGCCAATTGATTCATCTCATACCACTCGCTGGCTGGCATCTCTCCCTCCCCGCGTCAAAGCTCTTTGGCGGCTAAACGCAACCATGGCCTCGGCACTGTTTTTCCTAGATTTGAAGGGCAAGGTGAATACTCCGTCCCCGAATTCCATGTGCCAGGCTTGCAGAAGAAGAAATAAGGGCGCGACTCAGCTAACTCAATCGCTGCACCAGACGCTCCTTGCCCGCAACTACAGAGGTGACATTCCCATGTCAGCCGTGGAAAAGTTTCCCATTCTCCTATCCGAGGCCGAAGAAGAATCATCCGCCGTACCGCCCTGCTTCTCCTATGAAGGCATCAACGTTTGTCACCCTTTTCGCAAATATATACATGAAAGAATAACAAACGAAAGACGCAACACCTTCTGACTTGAAAACGTACAACAGTACCTGTATATCCGTCACAACAACCTCTACCTCCTCGCCCTGACCAAGCGCAACACCAACGCCGCCGAAATCCTCCTCTTCCTGCACAAAATCGTCGAAGTCTTCACCGAGTACTTCAAGGCTCTGGAGGAAGAATCCATCCGCGACAACTTCGTCATCATCTACGAACTGCTCGACGAAATGATGGACTTTGGCTACCCGCAGACGACCGAGTCCAAGATCCTGCAGGAGTACATCACGCAGGAGTCGCACAAGCTGGAGGTGCAGGCGCGGCCGCCCATCGCCGTGACCAACGCCGTCTCGTGGCGCTCCGAGGGCATCCGGTACCGCAAGAACGAGGTGTTCCTCGACGTGGTCGAGAGCCTGAACCTGCTCGTCAGCTCCGACGGCAACGTGCTGCGCAGCGAGATCCTCGGCGCCATCAAGATGAAGTGCTACCTCAGCGGGATGCCCGAGCTGCGCCTCGGCCTCAACGACAAGGTCATGTTCGAGACGACGGGCCGCACCACGCGCGGCAAGGCCATTGAGATGGAGGACGTCAAGTTCCACCAGTGCGTGCGCCTGGCGCGCTTCGAAAACGACCGCACAATCTCCTTCATCCCCCCGGACGGCGAGTTCGAGCTCATGTCGTACCGCCTCAACACGCAGGTCAAGCCGCTCATCTGGATCGAGTGCGTCGTCGAGTCCCACTCGGGCTCCCGCATCGAGTACATGCTCAAGGCCCGCGCGCAGTTCAAGCGCCGCAGCACCGCCAACAATGTCGAGATCATCGTCCCCGTCCCCGACGACGCCGACACCCCGCGCTTCCGGACAAACATTGGCTCCGTGCACTACGCCCCCGAGCAGAGCGCCATCGTATGGAAGATCAAGCAGTTTGGCGGCCAGAAGGAGTTCCTCATGCGCGCCGAGCTGGGTCTCCCCAGTGTCAGGGGCGACGACGAGCACGGCGGCGGCATGACGGGCGGGTTTGGCGGCAGCATGGGCGGCGTCGGCGGCATGGGCAAGGGCGCCAAGCGGCCCATCCAGGTCAAGTTTG